TACACACATATATGTATATATATTCTCACTAACTCATAGAGAGACAAAGTTTCACAGTCCTCCGGATGCCTGCAGCCTATTTAACTGAGTAGTCACCAAGAGTCATGTAACTTTCTGACCTGGATGCTGGTTAACTGGTTCAACAATTACCAGAACTATTATTATTCAGTGCCAGGCAGGAAGGCAGGAGTTGGAAGAGAGGGTAAGACATACCTTTGTCCCTGAGAATCTTACAGTGTTGGTACTGACCTTTCCATGTATAATTTTGGTATCTAAAGCTAAAAGGTTACTGATGTCTGCCCAGGACAGACTGAGCCATATCGAGCTGGGGTATGACTAGAGCCAGTGCACACCTGATGGGAATCTGCACATAAATTACTTGGGGATCTTTTTCCTAGAAAAATTCAGATTCTGCAGATCTGGGGGGGGGCGCTTCCACCTCTGTGCCTCTCCCAAGGTACCCACAGGACAGATGTTAGTCTGGGCACCTCTGTTTGCAAGTCAGGGGTATAGGCAGGAAAGATAGCATGAGCAAAATCGTGTGAGAGCAGGTATTATAAATCTCAGCTTTACTAAGAGTCCAAGGCTCAGAGAGGTTCAGAAATGTGTCCAAAGGCTTATCTTATAGCCAGGAAATGGTGGAGCTGAGACTGCACTCTGGGTCTGAAGTCCCAAGTCTGTGTATCCTCCTGCTATCTTAGGCTGCTCCTTACGGTGGCGCAGATGTCATAAGTGTGGCACCATCTTTCCCCTAAGTTGCCATGGAATGCCCTGATTTCTTCTTGAGAAACAGTGTGAAATACCTTTGGAGAGGTTTAAGGAATGATGGAAGACTAGTATCAGGAAATCTGGGTTCTACAACCAGCTGTTCCTCCACTGTCTGTGTGCCCTCACCCGTCATACCCCCCACCATGTTACTGTAGTCTCTCTGGACTTGTTACTCAGATTTGAGAGAAAAATTGGACTTTCGCCTTACGGATCTCACTAGCTACGTCCTTGGAACCAAAGGGACAAGGCCACTTACAGAAAAGTATTGACAAGTTGCTGAACCTGAGTAGGCTTACTTTGTCCAGATGCAAATAGCACACTGATCTTGGTGGTGGGCAGCAAGGCGTGAGCCATGTGGTTCATTTCCAAACCTCAAAACCAAATGGAGCTTGTCTGGCTGAACTTGGAAATGACCTCAGGCCGATGATTCCTTTTCCTCCCTCCCTATCTTCCTTTTGAGACAGGAATATCTGTCACCCTATGCCTGTCCAATCACTGAAGCAGTGACTTGTTACTTGAGGGCTATAGGTTCACAGATGTAAGCAGTTATATCTCAGGATGGTTTAAACTCAGTCTTACTCCTATCTAATGTATATGGTTTAGTTTAGATCATGAGAGTTGGGATGCTTAAATTTGGATTTAGATGAGGATTTTTGGTTTTGTTTTTTTTTTTTGTTTGTTTTTGTTTTTTAATTTGGAGTTGATGCTATAATGTGCTGAGTCTGGAAAATACTGGGATAAGATAAATCTCACAGATGGGCTGGATGTAAATCCTTGGGGGTCCAAGGGTGAACTGTATAGTCAGAATAATGGTCCCCAAAGATGTCCATGCACTGATCCCCTGAATCTGTGAATGTTGTACTACATGTCAAAGGTTTGAGTTTGCTAATCAGCTAACTTTAACATAGGTAGATAATCCTGATTACCTGATGGAGTGGGTCCATTCGTGGAATCACCAAGGCACCTAACTGGAAGGGGAAGCAGAAGGGGAGGAACAGAGATGAGAGAGTGGAACAGCTCTGTGCTCTGAAGCATCCTCAGGGCTTTGAAGATGGAGGCGAGCCCTCCAAAAGCTAAAAAGGCAGGTAAAGACTTTCCCCTACAGCCTCCAGAACTGTAGGATAATCAGTGTCTTGTTTTAAGTCACCATGTTTGCAGTAGGGGAGCTAATATAACACCTGTCCCTACAATTTACTGCTTGTGGATCGTAGAAAAGCCATTGTATCTTTGCATGTGTTAGCATTCCTTATTTCTCAAAATAAAAACTGCTGTGGGACAGAGAAGAGCAAAGAGCCTGAACCACTCAGCACAGTGGTGGAGAATAAATGTGAATTTCCAGCTTCCCCTTTGCTTCCATGCTGGGGAAGTGCTAGGAAGGAAAAGAGGAGCCAGATGCCATTCTCCCCATGCACGCTCTTCCTTAGATGTGGGCTACAATGACCCCCCACCCCACCCCAAGAAGCTCCCCAAGGCTGCATCTAGAGCATGGCTCCTTATCTGCCTTTGGGGACCCATGGCTCCCACCTCCTTGGTGAAAACCTTTCAGAAGACATAGTTCTTTAGAAAGGTCTGAGTACAGAGCCAGAAGAGCCTCACTCTTGAAAAGGCTTCCAGAGATCTAACAGCAGCTGAGTTGTCTGAATCCCTTCTAGAGCTGCCATGTTTCCCATTGAGGGAAACAGGAAGTGGGGCCTGGAGAAGGGTCCTGTCAAAGCCTAGGCCTACAATTTGCCATCCAGCTACCCACAGGTTCACCTGAGACAAACATCTGTCACACAGCCAGGGTTCCAATGCTTTCATTAGTTGTGTTATGAGCTTTTATTTAAAAAGCACATTTAATACAAGTATAGTTTCGCAGATACAAGTTTTCACTTTGTATGCTACAAAAGTCTTTGAATAGTATTCTCTTTACAAAATGGAATCTTACAAAAATACTGACAATTTAATGTTTTTATACAATTTTCTCTAGTTGCAGTTATTTTTCTCTTTGTAAAACAATGGCTACCACAGAGCTATGATATTTTAGTTGAGATTAAAAAAATTAACTCAATGCTTTTTTAAGCAGCTAAAGTAAATAACACAGGTCAAGACACAGTTTATAATCATAGTGGGTATAGCTAAAGTTGTTTCAGAAATAATATTTTACAGTTAACTTTTAATGTTTTATACATTATTTATATAATATTTATATATAAAAAATCATAGCTTGCTATATGTTGAAATGAAAGGACGGATTCTGTAGTAAGGATGTGCACATGGTTGACCCATACGGTTATGTGTAGCCCTTTGAAAGGTTTGCATCCAAGGTTGCAAAGCATTTCTTCCTTCCTTCTTTCCTCAGAGGTTCAGTAGAAGGGTCCCCACCTACTGCCTAGAGCGGGACCTTGCTTGGAAGGACACTTGTGGATAGAGGACCAGGAAAGCTCTCCACAAAGATTTAACCCATATGTTCTGCCCAGCAGAACCTACCAAGAACTGCCCTAGGGGTCAACCCCAAGACAATAGTGCTTTTACACAGCTTAGCAAGAGCAACTCTCACCAAGACCCTCTCCAATCCGTTATGCTGACGGGCAGTCTCTCAGGTCTGAGGCCATCTGCTATTCCGGCCCCTTCTGGTTTCCAGTAACCAAAAGGGTGGTTCACTTTTTCCTCTGCCCCACCCCCACTCCCCTGTCTCTTGTACAGAAACCAGACTATGCCTTTGCTCATCTCTAGACCCTCACATGAAATCCTGATAGGCACACAGCAGTGATTTCAAGGGAGATCACAGGAACTGAAGTCTAGCCATTTCTAAGTGTGCATGTGCGCAGTGATTCGTGCATTCACACATCAGCATCCTGTGTGTGACATTTCCATATCATAGGATGCTGAGTCAAAGAAGATACACGAGGGCCTGTGCCCTCCGTCTCTTCTGAAATTGTGCTATTTGTGAAGTTCACTCTTCCACAAAGAGTCTCCTAATCTCTAATGTGAGGGACTGTGGTGGTGGTGATGACGGCTTTGGGACTGGGGATTTGGATTTGGGGTTTGATCCCTGGACCAAGCAAACTTGCTCGTTCCTCATGTTTAAAAACCAAAATGAAACTTCCTGCCCCGAAGTCCACAGTTGGAGGCAAGTGGGGTGGGCAGAAGGTTGGTAGAGGGGAGCCCCATGGCCGAGTGCTGTGCTCATTGTGATCTGGCTTCGTGTGCTACCGGGTGAATTTGCGCTTTTCTCACAGGCCTTGGGGGTTCCCAGATCACAAGGGAGCCCAGAAGCCTCTGCTCACATCCTGTAACTGTTTGCTCCTGAACAAGCCCGCGTTCACTAGAACATGAACACTTAATCCCACTGCACATCCGCGGCTCCAGCACTCGGTGTTAGTCTGCTGTCCTTTCCACATAGGTGAACACTACCTATTTTGGAAGGCCACAAAGTGAGACTTTTTTTTTTCCTTTTCAAAAATCAGTTGGGCGAAAAGTTTTTCCCTACATTCTACTGTCTGATGAGATCGGAGAGAGCAGCAAGAACTTGCTGTCAGCAGTCACTTTACAGGACCCGCGCAGTGGGCGGGCAGCACCTACACCATGTTGTGGTGATTGTTCCTGTCAATAATGTCCACAGGGGAGAGGATCTCCTTCCTGATTGCAGTGGGAGGCAGGGTAAGCATTGTCTTGGTCTTGAAGAGGTCTGACACGAAGAATACCTAGGAGCACAAAGCAGAGATCCAAGTCAGCCATCAACATCCGGGGTCTGGTGCAGGCAGCAGAGGCAAAGGGAAGCGGGGAGGGACACAGACATCAGGCAAAGGTGGCCCCAAATCAGAGGGAAAGATGCTAGAGTTACACTGTTTAATCTGATTGCTCAGATGGGGAAACTGAGACCCAGAGAAGGGTAGGGATATGCCCCAGGTTGAACGGGCATAAAATCTAGTTTAATGGACTCTTAGTCCAGTGCTCTGTATCTGCAACCCCTCCTTATTCCTCAAGGCAAAGAAACAATTCCTAACTGAGAGAAGCAAGTCATAATTAGTCATTAAACCACACTACTCTCCCTTTCCTCACTACAGAATCCAAGATGGAACCGAGAAAGAGCAGCCAATATGAATTCCTGTCAGCCGGAGGTCGAGTCAGGACATAGTGGTGATGGTTTGGCCCTGAAAAGCCTATGACGTCAACCATTTGATGGGGTCAATAAGCCAGGGCCTTGTTGCCTGCAGGTAGGCAACTAAGTTGGAGAAAGGGTCGATGACGATCTCCTATTCGCGCAGCTAGAGTCTGTCCTCTCCCTTGGGATCATCAGGATACATTCACTGACACCAACCTGCACAGTGCAGGGACAGCTCAGAGGGACTTGCCATCTCCGTGAGCTCGGGAGGGAAGACTCAAGACCTTGAAAAGAGCACACGCTTGGTCCTAGATGGCCAAGTAAATACACAGACATTCAGCTGAGCCATGTAGCCATGAGTCTTATTAGTAACCATAAATGGGGGCTGCCATTCATGTGATTTAAAGGGAAATACAAGGTTGGGTTTGAGCTGGAGAATAGAACTCTTCCAAAGTTCCTATATCCCACAGCTTTCCAAGCCAAATCACACTGGCATCACCCACGGACTGTGCCAGGCTCACTAATGATGATGGCACTGCCACTTCCTTCCAGCCACCTGGTGGGCATGGAATAGAGTTCCTAATAAGACATTACCAACATTAAGGCTCTAGAGCCAGGGCCTGGTCACAGGAAGGCCTTGGGCTCTCTAGTGAATCAATTTCTACAACATCCCTTCTGTAGCAACACAGAGATCAATAAAGTGCCACAAAAGCCAAAGCAAGAAACTGGAGGTGCTGGTTACCAAGGGAGACGGGAGTGGGGTGGCTAGAAAATGAGTATGAAAGGAGGCTTATAGATCACTGTAATACCTCTTGTGCTTTTTAATTTTGTACCTGTTACATATAATGCCTACTCAAACATTTAATATTTTTATTTTAAAAAGTTAAATGAAAGCTAGGCTGTTTGTATGCCACTGTAAGAAAATACTAGTGAAGACATGTAACAATCAATTCACTTACAGCCTGAGTCCACTGAAAATACCATTTACAAAGGGGAAAAAAACTAAGCGTTTTCTCCCTTTGTTTTCTAAGGAAGGTAGAAGAGGGACAACTTTGGTACAGAAAGGTGTCTGCTAGCCATCATCAAACTAAGAACAGGGAAGATAAGACCTGTGGACCACCTACCGGTACGCTCCAGGCCTACCAAGCCAGGGAGTGTGTGTCACAAGTGGCCAGGAAGGGGTCTTCAAGTCCTCTTCCCAGAGGAAGGAAATGCTAACAGACCTAAGTGAAGTGAATGTGCTCAACAGTTCAATTTTCAACTCTTATCTTATGTGTCTCGTTTCCTCTCCAGTGGCCTCACTTCTGGACAGTGTCTACTTCTCTACCTGAAAAATTGTCCTCTCTTTCATCCTTTGCTTTATCTTCCAGGACATGGGTGCAACCAATCCCTCCATTATTGGTTCTCCCTTCCACTGGATTTGTGAAGTAGATTCTCACAGTCCTAATTTCTTTTTAATCTTTTTCTCCTTCTTCTCCTTTCTCTTTCTCTTCTCTACTTCTCCTTCTTCTCTTTCTTTTCTACCTTCCTCTATCTCCTGTGCCACCCCCACCCCCAGCCATCCCATCTCCTGTAGGCAAATACAACAGGAAACAACTTGTCTATCCCAGACACACACTTCGCCCTGGAACCATCTATCCCTCAATCTACTGGTCCATCTTGCAATCTAACTGTTGATTATGATCTCACAGCCACTACGCAATAGGGTTTTCATTTCCTAACTTCAAAGTAGGAATAATACAAAGGATAAAGTTCACAATGAGTCAAGAAGACCTAAAGCCATGTCTGTTACATAGTTCAGGACAAAGCACTAGACACCAGTCATTCATGGACCTCGACCAGTCCCACGCTCACATATCTCCGAAACCTTGCTTATGGGCTCTGCTTCCTGGATGGGAAGCCGAGCCCCAGTATCATCCACAGCACTTGGATGGGGCCTTGCACATCTAAGACACTCAATCAATATTTGTTGTTGAAATTCTAAAGCTCTCTCTATTGACTGGGAGGCAGGCACTCTGGCCTTGGCCCTTTGTGGCAGGCACAATGTGTACCAGTTTCAGGGGCATTGCATGCTGAGATCCCACACCCATGGCCAAGGCAGGAGATGAAGGGCGGGTCGGTCTTGCAGAATCCCACCTCCAGCTGGACTCGCATCTCAGCAAGGCTTGAGGTTCCTCCAACACTTCTGGGGACTCGTGAAACACCATCTTGTCAAGACTCAAACAGGGCCCAGTTCTCCTAAAGCTTGAACAGCACAGCACAGAAAGGACTAGTAAAAGTGAAAGTGTCTTGCCTGGAGCACTCTCACTTCCTAAAGAAGACGTTCTCCACCCAGAAAGCAAACGGAGGCCCAGGCTGGGAAAGCCTTGCACAGATTCATAGCTATCTCAGTCTGTGGGGCAAACCCACTCCCAGCCCACAGCCCACACCACAGCTCTCCTGCTGCACAGAAGAACACGCTAGTCCTCAACAATGGGAAAACCAGACTGAGAGGAGGTCACGGTTACAGAGCCCAGCACATTTGCTTTCAATTTCATTTTTCTGATCCTCTGCATTTTAGAAAATTTTTTAAAAACAGAATGAATGTGATTCATAAACACGTATTAACTCCTGCTGTGTGTAAGCCCTGGGAATATAAAGGCAGAGTTCTTTGACCTCTAGAAGTTGACATGCCAATGAGGGAGAAGAGGTAAAAAAAAACAAAAAACAAACAACCAACAACAGTGCCATGTTAAGAACCATGACAGAGGGAAGCAGGGTGTCAGAGTGCAGAGAAGGTGGCACCTGCCCTACACTGTCAGAGGGAATGGGCCTCAGAAGGCATCATCCACAGGCAGGGATCTGAGCTTTGCTTCAAAGACTATGGAGCAGCCAGCCAGGTGGTGAAAGCAGAACGGTTGTCCCAGGCAGAGGGCATGGCTTGTGCACAGGCGCCGGAAGGAGAGGGCAGCATGCTGAGGATCTGCAGGAGCTGGGGAGAGGCTGGAGCAGCATGGTCTCCAGGCCAGGAGAGCAGCTGGCTCAATCTTGAGACGCCTCCTGGGACAAGGTAAGCAGTTCAGGCGGCTCAGCCTTTGGGCCCTGGGAGTGACCATCAAGGCTTCAGCAGGGAAGTGGAACACTGGAAGGGCTCACACTGTGGTCGTGTTAGCATCTGCAATGAGGTGCAGTGAGCCTGAAAGCCGGGGCTGAAGAGTCTAGGGGAGGGCGAGGCATGAACTCTAACCACAGGAGGAAGGCAAAGAGGAAGAACTGGGTTTTGAAAGGTTGAGTCCAGGACTGCAGCTGATAGAGGGGGCACGTTTGCATGCGTGAGGGTGGGGAGGTGGTGGAAGGGAAGCGATGCTTTACTTTCTAGTTGTTCTCTGTTCTAAAAATCCACACACTAGTTTCCATAAATATGATTAAAATGGGGACAATTACGCCGAGGAGGAAAATGATAGCTCTGCTATCTTCTGCCTGCTATTCTTTGGCATTCTCAGATATTGTCTTGGGGGAGATACTCCAACCTCCTGCTAAGTCAGAATGTGATCAGATCCAAGGGTAGAAGATGATCTGATCTATACAGACACTTGACAATGTAGCTTTTCCTTGGAGAGCAAGAGGACACACAAGCAAGGGAGATGAGCATTGGAGGAAGCTCGATCACATGATCAGGAGATAAGAAGCACTCAGGGAGAGGCTCATGGCAAATGTGTCTATGGCTGTCTCCCTCTCTGCACTGCTCTCCTCTACTCCCCATCCGATAAGACAACACCAGTTGTCTTTTGCTATTTAAAGTAGGGCACAGGGGCTTTCAAATCCAAGTTTTGCCGAACACCTAGGCAAGCACTACGTATGTATCTCAGGGAGTATGTATCTCACTCCAAAGGTTATGGGAAGGCAAAGGGCAGAAGTCTGTCACAGTGGCCTGTGTGCTCAGCACCAGTCTACACAAAATCATTTCTTTTTCTCTGCCCCTTATGTACAAAGAGAAGGGGGGGGGAAGAACTAGAAAAAAGAAGGGAAAGTAGGAAGGATGGAGAATATGAATGAATGTGTAGAAGCTAGATGTAGAGACCTGGCTAGTAGGTAAGGTCTGCTTTTCAAGATCTATGTGTCTGGGGCTATTTGGGGGAGTGAATCAGCATCCTGAAAAGGAAGACGCTTTGGCTGTCGCAGTCAGCAGTCACAGGCTCTCCCTTAGAGAACAACCCAGATGGCTCCTGCTGGGTGCTGGCTGTTGAGAGCGCTTCGAGAACAGAGCAGATCAGAAGAAACAGCCTGGTTGGTGGCCACGTGTCCACTTCCACTGCGGTGGGTGGCTGAGTCAGCATCTCTGGGGTCATTTTATTAAGGGCTGATTATGACAACAATATTGTCTTTAAGTGTTTCTAGAGCCCTTGAGTGTTTCGACTCCTGGCAGTGTGCAAGGGTACCTGAAGACAGGAATCACCATTTACACAGAGATTCATATGTGCTCCATTGAGCTTCAATACCAGCACCGGGCAAGCAACTGAAAGCAAAAGACTTCAAAGCAGAAGAAAATAGAGCTGTCTCTTTGGGTATTTCTCAAGGTACAGTTCTCCCATTGCTCTTTTCAGAGGCACCTGAAAAAAC